CACAGAATAATGCTGTTTGAAAGTCTATGATGAACTCCTACAGCCTTCGCCTGTTATAAAATGTCAAATTATCTTTCCTCTCTATGATAATACTGACACCCCCGACCCCCCGGCGTTAAGCGTCTTATCTTCTCCGATTCTGTGAAGTTGAGCTTATATAAAAAAGTAACCAAGTGCAACTGGTGACAAGTCCTTGCAGAATGTATTTTTGTATGGCACCAAACAAGGACACGGCTCTGTGCGTATGTCTCGGAGAGTAGATTTCCCACATCCTGATTTTAACACTAATCTTAAACCTTAATCCACGCCCGAAGCTAAAATCTAACTGTAGCTCAAATCGTAACCTGAACCCCAAACTAAATCCTTCCATATCTCATCCCCAATTTTCCTTTACTCTTTTTAACCCTAATCGAAAATTAACCCTTATCGAAACCAATAAATTAACTCTGCTAACTTTAGTGTAAAAAAACCTGTTGCCCAAAAATATTAGTGAGTGCGGTATACTGAACTTACTGAACCCGCCACGTACCATGTACCCTTTACTAAATACAAAGTTACCGACCCTGCAAAATTCCCCTATTACAGAAGCATTTGCCAAACACATAACGTCACATCAAGTGCTCAACTCATGCCATTGTCTGCTTCAGACAGCCCATGTAAATCTATGTTATGCCTACGTTCAAAATTTTAGGAGATGAAGTAAATTAATATGAATTCCATATTATTGCAAAAAGTGTTTGAAATTGCCAACGAATATGATGAATAATTTTATATTCGGGACTTCACGTAACGTTCAACATCCGAGTGATTTGAAAAAGTCTGTCATCTCAGCTTTATCAAGCTGGCCATCCTGGTCTAGGTCATGTGCAGCAATAAAATCCTTGACAGAGTCCATGTCAATGCCGGATCCTTGAAAAGCTGCTAGCAGCTCTTTGGAGCTCACTTTTCCAGACTTATCAACATCCAGACCCTCCATCAATTCTTCTATTTGCTTACTATAAAATGAAGATAACCGAAGAAAACATTGACTTACTCGGTTGGCATAACGACGCTTTACACACAATTCCTGATAGTTTCCGTCTGGACGATGATTT